AAGTTCTGCTGATATATTTCGGAGCTACATAATTACCATTTTGCAGAAATCATATTAATTCTGGTGATTAAAAGCCACCTAAAAATGCCTCATAGACTCCTAAAAAATCTCTTSCTCTTCTAACTTGCAAGCTTTTAATATCCTCCTCCTTTGAGTTGGAAAAAAAAAAAGGTTATTTTGCTAAATATTGGTATTATAAAAGTTACCTTTAGACTTGAAGGAAAGATTGCTTTCATTGAATAAAAAGCTAAAAGACTGTGGGTCGGAGAGTGCAGGGAATCAAACACCACAGCGTTTTTGAGTGGGTTCTTATGTTAACTCACAGGTTAAGGGCAGGCAATTTTGATTAAGCAGGTGGCCCACGTTTTCAAGTCAGAGAATGTAAAGCTCATAGGAAAGCCCTGGGAAGAAACACAGTGCTACTGTGTGCTGACCTTTTGGAAAATCAAGCTTCTTGTGGCTTGATACTACATGGTTTTAAGGTGCAGGAGTTGAAACTCCTGATCCATGACCTTTGCATACTGCCCTGAATCTCTCAACATTAGGGACACGGTTCAYGGGGAAGCAGGAAGCCTTGGTGCTAGCGGTCACCGGGGCAGGAATTCTTGTTGCAACATCCAAAACTCTCAGTTTTCACATCACAAAAGCTTTTAAGTCTTCCTGTTGAATCCGTCTGCTAATCCCTGGCCTTCCTGTTCCAGCAACTGGGAGAAGCGAGTGACGTCCCCGCATCAGCAGAGGTGCCAGGGAACCTTCAGGACAACCTCCATCCTCTTTAATTTGTGTAGCTGCAAACAACCACCTAACAACATAACATTTTGCCACTGTAAGGACGTACTTTAGCATCCCCTCTATGCCCTTCAAAAATTTAGAGACAATTAAAGACTTTAAAGGTGACTGCAAGTTGCAGCTAACTGCTCCAGGATCTAAAGCCAAGGTCTATGTCTGTTGTGTCTTTCTCCCAGGTTTGAGTCACTGCAAGCAAATTAGAATTTGAATAATATAAGCACAGTTCATAAGATCATGCTTTCCATGAATTCATCTTCATATCAAAAGGAGAATCTCTGTGTAAGAGCTAGGAAATCTCCTGCCTTTGATTTGGAACAGATGAGGCACCCTATGTCCTTCTAGGATTATCAAATACCCTGCTGGCATAGCACAAAAAAAGAAAGGGAAAAGAACCGTATAAACTAACTCAAAACAAGGGAGGCAGAAATTCAAAAATAGCACCAGGGACTGAAATGACAGATCGTGAGAACTGAGCAAACTGCAACTAACAGGACAATTTCCACATCCAAGGAGGACGCTCCACCAGCCAATGAGCACACGAAAATTCCCCGGAACCTCTGGAGCACTGGAGAGGTCAACACAAGCCACTTCAGTCTTCTAATGGGAAGACTAACTGAGGCAAAGCCCATTTGGCTGGAGACAAATACCCGTATCCATCATTTCATAACTGCATTTCCAAATCTGAGGAAGGAAAAGAAGTGTGAACCAATTCCAGCTTTTGGAATGGCAGGTCACTCATTTCCTGAGCTTACTAAATGGGCCATTAGAATAATGACACCATAGTGCAGTTATCACAAAAGCTAGCCATAAGGAGAAGGCTACTTCGCTTTTTCTAGACATCAGAGTTTATATCTAATGATCATGAGCTACCCCAAGATGAAATCGTGATGAGGACGGGTAAATTGGACAATGTGTGTGACCTGTGCCCCTCTCTAGGCTGCCCAGCCGCACAAGTTAGGCCAGAGCTGCATCCAGTCCCATACTCAGGTTCTGACAGTGGCCAACAGCAGAAACTGTAGAAAAACAGACAAGCTGGGAGTGAATGTTCACTAAGGCGAAGCTGAAATGCTTCTGTCTTCTCTGCCTTTGGACCTCTGTAGGTAAGGATGACACATATGAATATTACTGCCCATACTGCATGGAAAAATGTTTCCTGTTGAGAAGAGTGCTTAAATACAGCTACAGGTGATACAGGCTGAGGAGAACCTGAAAGTGGCTTGCTGACAAGCACAGACGACCAGGCCTGGGGGGCGTTTTTTACTTTTTGTTCAACTTTGATATGTGGAATTTCCTGTAAAACTCCCTTTAAACCAGGGCCTGAGGCTSTGAACCCCTTCTGAGTAGTGATTAATTCTTACACCAGACTCAAGTTCATAATATGTTCACTTGCTAACTGTGATACATTCACRTAATACATTGTGGTGATACGGGTGAATTAAATCCCACTGAGGCTGGTAAGTTTAACAGCAAGCTTTCAGTCAGGGTAAGTAAAAATCACTGCTGAGGGAATGTAAGAGACCTAAGTTTGCTCTCTATAAAGGCTACAAAGTGACTGTTCTTATTGCCAGGTACTTTRTGCTCACAGCATTATCAAGACTGCAACAAACCTCAATCTAATTTTTAAGGCAAGATTTGTAGCACTGAAGTCTGTCTTTCTATTTTAAAACATCTTCAAAAGGACTCAGCAAGGAAATGAGTTGTAAGTCTCAGAACTTCTCATTTTTCTCCTGGTTCAGGAGAAAAAGACAAAACAAAAAAAAAAAAAAAAAAAAAAAAGCCCCATCCTGCAAAAAGTAAGGTGCAGAAACTAGAGGTGGGGGAGAGTTGAAAGAGAGTGGAGAGGAGGAACATGCTTACCTGCCATAAAGCAAGAGCAATGCCTAAATATCTCAGTGATTGGCACTCAATACATAAGGTTATGATTTAAACAAAAATAGGCAGCTAGCAAATGTTAAAAGGCCAYCTGATATTAATTGTGAGTGAGGCAAATAGAGTTGCTTAGAAAACCCTGTCACGAATAATTTCTCTGGGCTTAGCAATTCTTCTTGCTTCTGGGATTTGCTCTTCTCTATCATGGTTGAATAACATTCTGCTAATTATTAATTGGATAATGATTTGTTTCTCTTACTAATTGAATAATGTGTTCAGAAGTGCATTTTGAAAGCTCCCAGCTCTAGTGACCRTAAATATTGGCTCTATCTTCACTTAAATAACATGGTTTGGAGGCAGGTCCCTAATGGCAGACAGGGAACCTGAGTCCCTCTGCATCCAGCGGGGAATGTTCCACAGGCAGCCAGGAGGTGGGAACATCTCAGCCCTCGCTGCCCTCCTGCATCCAAATCTTTGGAGTGCTCTGGGAACAGACTGTAAGAGGGAGGAACCCGAAAGGGCTCTGCTAAACAGTACTGACCACGCCGAGACATCAACCTGGGACCCTGAGCCGGGCCCATGCTGCAATCCTTGCTCCTCAGGTAGGAAAGAAGTGAGGACAAGAAAAGCAATAATAATCCCCCTGCACTCGGATCCCACTCCCTACCACCTCCCTAAGAGAAGCCTGGCCATTAAAAATGCCCCATAAATGTCACTGACAGAACAGGCTTCAAGGTTATTCAGAGAAGCCTCCCCCATAGACAAGCTCTTCTTAAGAGCAATAAAAGCCTGGAGGTTTTCAAAGGAGCAAGTGGACAAACCTGCCTTCCAAAACCCAGCAGCTCCCTTTTTGCAGGAGAAAAGGCACATGGTGGGGGAAGGGGCTGGTCACCCTCCTTCACGGGACACGGAGGCCAAATCCATCCCTAGCAGAGCCCATGCTGAAGCACAAGCCTCGCAAAGCAGCTTCATGCATCGGTGCAGCCAGCTGCAGCAGCAATACACAGCTGCACGCGGGCTTCACTCCGGGGCTGAATCATTTCCTCAGTGGCTTTTTCTTTCCTTCCTTTCACCACAGATGGCTCAGGCAGCTGATCTTCATCCTGAAGACCCTCCATAGAGTGGCCTCGTTCTTCCTCGGCTYCCTTTTCCCCAGGAACTTTAACGGTTCCTGGTTGACTTGTTACTGTCCTCCTGAAACTTCCTTTCCCTTCTGTGATCACGGAGCTCGCCAAGCCACCACACGACATTGTGTCGCATCCCAGGCGTTTTGGCTGGAAGTTTGAGAGAGCATTAGTGTCTTCAGCGGGCTGCAGGAAAGGAACACGTTTGCCCCTGCAGAAGCCAAGGTAAGATAAGCACTGTTGTCTGTAAACCAWTTTAGAGCAATGATTTTGATAAAATGCAAATGATGGTGGCTACGAGAGAATCACCTAATGAAATGACATTTCCTGCTTGCCCCATCGCTCTATCTCTGCCCTATCGTGGAGGTACCTGTTTGACACAGGCTAGTTGATTAAATGTAAGAATTCAAGCAGCTGCAAGGACAGAAGCACAAGCTAAAACTCCCAAATGGTGGGAAACTGCAGAATATGCTGTGTGTCTTTCTAGGCTGGAATTTTGTACTGGAAATCAGTACAAAATGGCAGGGATCAGACCACTGACTGCTGAAATCATGTGTGGGACACCCAGAAGGGAACATCACAGAGCCCCTACAATTAAACGTGGTTGTCTCAAGCAAACRCCTGATTTCCACATTGGAAAAAAATGTAAGGACTGTGAAGTTAGTGTAAAGAAATAAAAATTCACCAGAAATTAAAAAGTGAAGTAGGAGTTTCAAACAAAATTATGATTGACATACAGTTTCTCCTTCTAATTCATCTTATACTTTTGGGATTTTAATACAAATAGAAATCCATCTGGTATCCTGACTTTGTACAGTTAAATTCATCCAGTTCTATTTAATTTCAATTGCAGGGAATGTCAGAAGATCCTTATATTAAACTGAAGAAAATCTGAGGACTTAGAGCTGCAAGAAGATATTAAAAAAGGCACATTCAACATTTACATCTTTATGCAAGCTGCTCCCATCCAGCCAGGACACAGGTACACAGAATCACAGATTCAAGAATAGTTAAGGTTGGAAGGGACCTCTAGAGATCCTGGACCTCTAGTCCAACCCCCCTGCTCCAGCAGGGACACCTAGAACATGGCACAGGGTGGCATCCAGGCGGGTTGGGGTCTTACACACGTAAGACAGCGCCCAAGGGGAATTGTKCCATTGATAATTCTGCTCAGGACTGGGGTTAGGTGATGCTTTGGGCTCTTCGGTATCTCCTTACCAGAACTGCTACAGCGAGATGGTTCCACGAGGCGGCCGGTCTTATCGTAGCAGGCGAGTGCTCGCAGCCGGACCCCTTTCCCACATTCCTTGGTGTCTCCAAGGATTCGCATTCCTGCTTGCAGCTCTGGTTTGCCTTCTTCAATAATGCAATCCGACCAATTTCCGTGGGGCTGGGAGGTAAACGTCTCACAGGGGCATGGCTCGGTTTCGACTTGAGGATAAACTTCGGTATCCTGGCATTTGTCTCGCTTTCTGCTTCTCCCTGTTCCAACCAGAGAGATCTGCTCGTTAGCTTCACATCTGCTGCTTCCGATAACAACACATCATATTACTTATACTTGCAGGAATTCAACACATTAGAACCAAGACAACCTGAATGTTAATACACAGAAATGCTTCTGAAGCATCTATTAGCTCTTGCCAGTGTTCTGGAGAGCAAGGACACCGTATTTATCTCCAGGGGCAACCAGCAAACTTGGGAATACCATTGTGATGGATAGTGCACTGAGCAAAATGCAAGGTCCRACTGTAGTAATAGTCCACTGAGAAAATTCTTTGTAGTTTTATATAATATCATTTTTTTCCTAATTATCTGATGCAAACAAATTGATTGTCTTGTCTCCATTCCCCTTGCAATCAATGGTTGCTAAGGCAACTTGCAAAGTAGTCCACATTAGCCAAAACTTCTTCTTTGAGACTACTTTACAAATGAGTTAAACATGTACTCTGCACACAAACTGCACTTTGAAGAAATCAGGAAGATAATCCTGAGCAAGCTTTCAGGTCTATAAAGCATTTCAATAGTTACATTTGGTTTAATGTTTTCTGTTTGCTCTATTCCTTAAAAGATTTTAAAAAGAGGCTGTTTAAAGACCTTTCCTTTTGAGGAACTGAAATAAAACTGCAGTCCTGCTCTTTGCAGCTGGGCTCTGCAGCCTCTGCTCCTGGAGGACACCTACCCCTCCTGCACGTCCCAGTTACCAGAAGAGAGAAGGTAACGAGCAGAATTCCAGCTCCTGAATCCCTACAAATGCTCAAGGCAACAAAAGGGTCATGCACCGCCTCTGAAAGGTAAAATGAGCTGCTCTTGCCATGGGTTAGCCAAGGTGAAACGGAGCAAACTTTATGGTGTCTGAACTCAGAGATGTCTTTTTATTCAGCATSCACACAAGGGGAGACTCCATCTTCAGCAACAAACCCTATGTACACCACAGGCTCTGAGAGCTTCTTTGGGATTCCTGACAATCAAAAAATAATTTTTGTAAAAAGTTTTCAGAGCTGCAATGTCAAAAGTAATGTTTCCTCTTTGCTATTGCACACAGTGAGATATTAAACAAACAAACAAATCAAAAAAACCCCGTGTACACCCCAAAAAAATCCTCTTTCTATTCCTGTATCAATAAAATCATTCCAACACACGCCAGGAGAAACAGAAACTTGCCTGGCATCACTGCAAGTCTTTTGCATATACCCAAGTTATGCCAAAAAAAAAAAAAAAAAGCACATAATAACAGATCATTCATATCATTGTCTCTCAAGTCCCACAGTTCTTTCCAAATTTTACTTTCTGTTTGAGGAACCCAAACCCCCACGGGTGTGCAAGGCCGGCGGGTTCTGCCTGCTGTGATCTGCCTGGCTCCTTCCGCAGGCCTCTCCGCCTGGCCATCACGATGGGAAGCGCATCAGGAACGAGCGAGGGTGCTAATAATCTTACACCTCTTCCAATTTGTCCTGCCATCTGTTGTGCAGGAATCTTCCCTCTAATGAAGTTGCCATTAAAACCCTATTTTGAGGGCAAAAGTGACATTCGTCCCAGGTTCGTTACAAAGGARTAGCAGTGGAATTAGTGACAGAGATACTTCCATTATCTTCATAGACGAGTAAAAATGCCATCACCAACATTTTCAAGGACACAAACACTTAAACAAATGGTATTTTTGTTTTTCCAAAYTGAATGAATTTCTGTATACTAATGAATACTGTATACATTTCATGTAACAGATACTACACACTAGGTATTAAAATCATATGAAATATTAAAAATATTTTTAAATGATCCATCTGTATCCATAATAAACAGCAGCTGTATCCATAGTATACAGTGAATATTTAGCTACATTACTAATATAATAATTAATATTACTGTCAAAAAATGTTCTGCTTTCACAACAGTGACTTAGAATTTTCTTGTGTTTTTTGCAGTAAGTCTTTTGCTTCTTTAGGAACGACCACTTTTATCTGGAGAGTCCATGATTACTTACAAAGCAAAATGATTGGTACTATCACAGCTGATSGGGAGGCAAGCAAACTCCCAGCACATAATCAGGAGATTCCCACTCACTGGAAGTGTAAATGGACTCTCATAATGAAGTCAAAGCCTTCACCTGAGTGTACCTATACGGTGCTGAAAGGGGTACAATTTATACAATCGTACAAAAAAAGGTGAAATACAAATGGATAAAGGTCTCTCAACACCAAGAAGTGTTTCCCAAAGCACATTCTTTATATCCTTGGATTTAGTCCATATGGACAAGAGTTTTTATCTCAGGGCTTTTGGTCTCCAGCTCCAGTTTTCATGTTTTATTCAAAGACAGATCAGAACAGCCTCCTCCTGCTCCATCAAAGCAAAACCAAGGACTAGTTTTGTTCTTGGCTTCCTGCTCTCTGCATTTCTCTGCTGCCTGCAACACCACTTGGGATTCCCATTTCATTACAACCACCTCCTTTGGAGAAAGTCTTGGTGTGGAAGAGCTGAGAGGACAAGAGCTCCTTCCCATCCCGAGGAAGGGAACCTCAAACAGCCATAGGGGCTTCTCCCTGGGTGCAGACTTGGGTGGCCTTTGCTCACAGATGCAGGCCGAGCGAGGAAATAAGCATCAAAACTTGATGATCAAAGACCATTTTGGGTCCACTTACTTGGATGGAGCTTTCTCTGATGCAGAACGGGGTAGGAAAGGGGATAYTAAGGACTATAATCTGAGGTAACTTGCACATACATATTTAAAGAAAATTCATATTTAAGACTTCCAAGAAGTAAGTACTCATAGCATTTCTTACAGTATCACATTTTCTTTAAGATCTTGACATAGGTTTTTCTGATGGTGAACTTAAAAATATTTTACTTAAAAACATTTACTTAAAAATACAGGCATTGAAAAGAAGATTTTATAAAGAATAAATTCTTTGACAGAAACAATAGAATCCTGTATAATAACGATTTTTATACAAAAGAGAGATCTTTATCCTTTAATGAGCCACACTCATGAATAAAACAGTTTTTGATTCCATTATGTTTGTATAACGTGATTGTAAGTTACTTCAAATTTGATCATTGCAAYAATAACAAATCGAATAACCAAACAATTGTGCAGAGTAGATATTTTTACAACATCACTTAGTGGTAGAAGCCTTTGATGTTTCCCCTCTAGTAATGGAGAAAACTCATAGTAATAGAGCAAACTAAGCCCAGCTAAATCATAGTACTTAAACATAAAACAAGTATATGTGAAGTTGGAAGTATGTCAAATAACGATAACAGTAAATTTCTGACAAACCTTCTAAAAAAAAMCAAAATTTATTTGGATTTCATTTAGCTAAGCATGGGGAGGCAAAAAAAACTCCTAATAAAACAAGTATCCCTGAACTATTAATGTTCTCCAGTTTTAAAGGTTTTCAGTTTGGCCAGCACTCAAATAACATAATTACAAAATACAACAGTAAGTATGGGAAAATGTACCATGAAATGGCTTGAGCTAGAGTGCTTTATTTATACATATATATAAAATAACATGAGTTTAATGATACTGCGTCTTCTTCATCCATGGTATTAATTTGCTGTGCTGAACTACTGGATATTGTTGGACACAAAACTCCCAGCCCTAAACTTTACCCAGATTTCACCTTAACAGATTAATTAGTCAAATCTACTCAAGCACCACACAGTCACTGTTCTCTTTATTTGGTTTATGCCTCAAATGGCTTGCATATAATTTACAGCRTGCAGGAAACACACCCTTTCCACCACGGAGCTTTCTGCACTGCTTTCCCCTGCAACATGCATACATAAATGCGGCAATGACCAATATCAGATCAGAAATCAATTCATCTCAACATCTAAGGAACGGCACCTGCAAGCATTGCCATCARATAAATATTTTAAGAGATTAACCATACCTGTGAGCGACCGTCTTCTGCTTCTTGTTGATTCACAGTCGAAAGAGCATGCTGTAAATTTAGACCACGGGGTAAATGTGCAGTCATCTTTGCAGGGCACGAGGCACTCTTGCACTAGGGAAGGCATAGGTCCTGCCCACGTCAAGCATTCACTGACATCTGCAGAATCGTTGCTCTCCGAGAGGCATGTAACAGCTGAAGAATGAAAGTACAGAAATCTTTTTATCGCTTTATATATTGGATTATACTCTAGTCAGTTGGTATTTGTGCTGTACGTGAAATCCAATCTTCTGGGCTAATAGTATAAMGCTGATTTATTTTTAGGTCATTATTCATGTAGCATTCAAACTTGTGATGGAAGCTTCACAAAATGATGAAGACAGATTGTTATTTCAACAAGTTTGTTAACTGCATCACAATGCAGATGAGCTGTTCTCAAGGAACTGGTTGCTTTGCGTGTTGGGGCAAGAGCTTAACAAATAAGGACAGTTGATGAAGGCCAGGATTCCCAAACAGTGATGCAGACACCATCCACAAAACTCAGCTTACCTCATTACTTCATCCACAGAACTGGAAAAGAGAAGAAAACCGGCCACCTTTTCCATGCGAGACGAGGGGAACAGCCACTTAAGCAGCAGATGCTACTTTGGCAGCTGGGCACCTCCTGCACAAGGCATGAGCAGCAGGTCTCCCCCAGGAACCAGGCTCAGATGCCTCTGTGGGCAGGCAACATTGCACAGGGTTTATGAAAGCCCAGACCAGGACTTAAGATGCACTGATTGCACCTGAGTTTCTTTCCTGACCCGTAGCCTCTTGCAAGGGCCCCCRTCCTCTTCTGGAGCTAAGCTGCTAAGCAGAATTAACGACACTGGGACACCAGGCACTGCATAGCCATGATGACAGAACAAAAATATTGAAGTATAAATCTCAGTCACAGGAAGCCGATAATAAAACTTGCTAAAGTTTCAGTGAATTAATAATAACTAATTATAATAAATAAAAATAGCTGCACATCCTGGAGGATTTCTTTTCATTAATAATAATTAATTCTCACAAAATCTCCAAGATTATAGGCTATTCATATCCTAGATTGTAGGTTAAACAAGGCACAGATAGGTCGTGAATTGATTACAGTAATAAAGTCAGGGACAGAGTCAGGAATTGAATCTGGCCCCCAGAGTTTAGTCATGTCACCCTCTGATTTCATGCAAGTCCACACATTGTATCATAAAGCTACAGAAGATTAAATGATTTAATACAGATTTTATTATTTAACAACCTGCAGTATTGTTTTATGGAGATTCCTAAATAATTCAAGTTTTTGAGGTTGCATATATTTTTTTCTTGTTGCCAACACTCAATATAACCAGGAGTGCATGAAGAAAGGGAGAAATATGACTCATTGTTTTCTTAGTTAAAAGATTTACCAGGGCATAACTTTGAAAAGAAGTTGCATGAATTTTCCTTTTTATTTTTATTTTTCCAGCTACAGTATTGCGTGGGAGAAAGGGATGTGGTAGCAGCCATCTGGAAATAAAAAATAATTTATTAAAACGTCCTTAGATTTCCGAGGAAAAATCAGCATTTTAAAGAGCTTGCAAAAGGCAAGCAATTGCACGAGCTTCTTCAGACTCCAGTGAGAGCAAATCAGCATATTAATAACTACCTCTAAATTGCTGATCCTCGCCTTTCACTTCCAATCTTTTTGACCCTTCCTACCTCTCAGCCCTGGCAGCCAGAGGCTTGGAGAGATTCCCGCTCTCCATGCGGAAAGCGCGAGGACGGAGGTCATGGGGCTGCAGGAGGCAGCGCCGTAATTGCCGTCTCGAGGGAGGTTAAACAGGTAAGAGAYGCCCATGCCCAGGCTCCGTGGGGCCTCGCTGCCCTCACCAAGGACACCCAATGTCCACGCGAGGGCTGCGTGGGCGCAAACCCCCTTTCTGGCACTGCCACAGCAGCGACGGACGCCAGGAACCACCCAGATCCCGCGCGCCGGGACCCGCACAGCAATGTTGGCAATTGCATATCAACAAAATCACACTGCACTATTTACTCTGACAGACTCCTGCAACTCATTCGTGACATTAATTAAAGGTGACACAAGCGATGGAACTGTTAAATATCAGTGGTAAAGCAGACAGGCCGTGCTGCAATGAGTTATTATTGACCAGCCTGATCCTCTGCACAGGTGTCTCTAATTTTGAGCATATAAATAATKCCTTGAGTTCAGTGAGGCTGTTTATATTTAAAGTAAGGACTGTATCGAAATGAATGAGATCAGGGCAAATATCTGACAGAAATTAGGGTGCTTAAAGAAACTGGCGGCAATAGGAAGTGAGGGTAAAGGGAATTTAAAACAAAAAATAATGAAATGTGAGTGAGTGGCTCTTCAGATGCCCAAGTGACAGTCACATAGACTGGCTGGGAGGGCAGCGAGGTTCTCCTTGCTTTAAGGGCACAAAACAAGGGGCTGGTCYGGGCACGGAGGGAATTCGTTTCCCCTCCGATTCCACTAACATCCTTCAAGCCGATGCCAAGGCCCGACTGCTGCAATCTGGTCTTAATTATCTTCAAAAGCCTGAACTGAATGCGCCTGATCTTCTAAAGCCCTTCTCAGCATGCCAGTTATAAGGGATGATGTGATTTCTTATATATGCTGTTTGAGGTGAGCAGCACGAATTGCTAAAATAAATGAAATAATAAAGGAAATGCATTTTAATGGTCTCCTGAGCAGCAGATGGGCAACTGCAGAGCTCTAAGTTTGTTTATGGAAAGAGTCACCTCCTCCTTGCCTGTTGCAAACTTACTTCCTGGTTACGTTACCTTTATCTTTTGAGAGAAAAATATTTTCAGATGCAGGTACTTCTGGAAAGAGAATAAGACAAATTTGGTTTGCAGGGGAGCTTTAGGGAAGTTAATAAAATTATTTCTCCTCGATGGTTGCAGTATACTGATTGCTGTGGCTCATAAGTGTTTTCTGTTACATGAAGAACATTTCCCCACACTCCTCTGCCTCACAGCTTTTCGATAAACCCACACCACAAAGCATCTTCTATGTCACCCAATTCTTTTAAGCGGGATACCCCCTGAGGGGCAAACACAGTCTATACCAGCCCTGTGCGTGGAGGACAAGTCACATCATAACTATAAATCCCCATGGACATAATGTGCAATTTCTACCATCTCCGCAGCATTTTAAATCGACACAAATGTATGAATAGAAACAGCTAATAACAGGACGCTGCCAGACAAAGGGTTTCAAATTATAATCTTGATTCCCACAAAGAGGAGAAATGCCGTATTTCCTTCTGAATTTCGGCTATTCTTTCTTATTACTACCAGTAAACACCGCCAAATTGGAAGTGAGCACTTGGGGCCAAGCTGGAGGATGCCAATTTAACGCCATTCTATTGATATAAATGCAAAGCAATGGCTGGCACATAGAAAATACATCTTCTTGCATGGCAATAAAAAGGAGGAGAGAGTGAATTAAACCRAAAGGTAACCAAGTTTAACACGTTCAAAGGAAGTTGTTTTGTGTAAAGCAAGGAGCTTGCATGCTGCATCCCTGTGGCAMGCTGACCAAGCCTGAGACAGCAGCAGCTGCCTGGAGACACCCATGGAGATGCCAGCACAAATTAGTCAGTAATATCAGCAGCGGACGTCGCTACCCCCTTCGAGCCGAGGCAGAACCCAGGTGCTCGCTGAATGCTTTGGGGAGGACGTTTCCTGCCCTGCCAGCACCAGTTCCCATGTGGATACTGCCAGCAGCCTCTTCCAGGACAAGAGCCCTGGCTTCATGTTTTATATTTACACACACAGCTACATTTGTAAGCTACTGTCCTAGCATATGGCAGCTGGAAGTGGTATTCCTCCACTACATCTATCTTTTAATTAAAATTAAATAGCAGACATTTAGTCTGTAAACTTTTACATGATGAAATCAAGTGCTTTTATGCTGTCAAATTGCAGAGATACTGAGTACATCTTTAGAGGACTTTCTATCACTCTTATTAAAAAAAAAAGAAGAGCATCAAACTGGTAGAACTTGCATGCTSTCCATAGGTGCACATGACTCACCGTGCTATAGGCACTTTAACWAAAGTGAATACATTTAGAAAGAAATATTATGGCCACAACATTGCAGGCAATAAAGAAAGATAACATAAATGTGGTTCCTCTTAAGCAAAAATCCAATTACAGACATTCTGAGTAATCACATTCATTTAGCAAAGTTATAATCAATCCTCCTTCAAAAACACATTTCAACAGATTGAAGGGGTAAAAGGCTGTGTGAATATCAAATACCAAACAGCGGCATTATATCCAACCGTGGCACTTCAATTTGGGTACCTACATTAGAGGTTTCCTAAGTCAGTAATTAAATGTTGTTAGAACATCTTTACACGAGGCCTGGCGACTCCAGACACTTGGCTGGAGCTTGGATGCTAAAATGAAGCCCCGTCCCAGTCGCTTGATGGGACTTACTGGGATGCCCTACAACAAACAGATTAGACAAGGCAGTGTAATAATCTAATTTCATGAATCTGTGAAAAGTCAAAGCCAGCATGTAAAGTCAAAGTAATTATTTTAATGCAATGTTTATCTTTGTACTGTTCCAAAAAATTCTTATCCTGTAAGGTATAATTACTCTCATTACCCCTCAATGTAACAGTAACCAGGTAACATCATTCTCACTAATCGTACGTGCAGGAGGAGTTCAGGGGTAGGAACAGCCTTTAAAATCAGCTTAAAGATTCAGTCTTGCTGACTGCAAGCATAGTCTCCTAAATCCAGATGATATCATTTATTTTCTGTATTGATGCCCCTTCACACCTACTCCTGGTTTCTCCAAGGTGCCATGTGGAACATTTTCGTTATCCGTAATAAAAAGAGAACCGTAATAAAAAATCGGAACAAAAGAGAAAACAATGCTGGGAAAGGCACAGGAAGAAAGCCCATAAAAGCTACTGAAGCAGATCTAGAACTAGTTACACAGCAAGGAAAACAACTCTGAAATCACCACATTTCCCATTTTATTAATGATACTGGCCATCATAGTAAAGGGCTAGCAAGTCCTCCAAAGAAATGAAACACTGAATAAACACAGGACCCGAAAATCTTGTCTGCTAAACAAGCAAAGGCCCTGGATGAGTGCTGGGAAGCATTAAAGGTGGGAAATGTCAGTGGAAAAG